GTGGAATCCTACTAGTAGGACTCCTCTCTCCGGCGCGCCCTACAGGGGTCGGTCGGCCTCCCCCTCTCCTCCTTTATATACGGAGGCAGGGGCACCCTATGTGCGGTGCCCTCCTCCACAGTTTACCACCTCGGTCATATCGTCGTAGTGCTTAGGCGAAGCCCTGCGCCGGTAACTTCATCATCACCATACTATAGATGCTCTTAGGATGGCGAAGCAAGAAAGTTCCACGCTTTGACAAAGAGCCAGCCTCACAAGAGTACTCGAGAAAAATTGTCTCTTGTTTTCCGACATCCTACCACTCCAATAGGCCAACTCCAACGCTAGACCCCCATCATATCCGCCGCTTCTGTTTGGGCCCAAACGGACACACGACCCAGCCCAACGCGCAACCCCATCCTCAAAACTTGTCTGTTTTGGTCCGGCTCGACCCATTCCAGGCGCATAGTTGGGCCAGCTTTGCGATTGCACGGAGAACGAACGGACGGGCACGCATCCTCTCCGCGTCTGCGTCGGCCCCGCATGTTGGTGGTCCAACTACCTCCCACCTTTTGTAATCAATGCGCACGGGTGGTTGGGCCTGCAAGTCAGCCACACAGACGCCCCCTGTTGTGTCCTTTTCTACGGGCAAGCCGTGGACTCCAGTCGTTGTCCCCATCCACCACTACCCCACTATTGCCTCCCCCATCGGAGACACCGAAACCTTAGTCACCGTCGACCTCGCTCCCCCGCCGGCCATGGGGTTCTAGAGGTGGCACCCAGGCAAGAAGTCCAAGCACGATCACGAGGCGGGCTCGTCTTCTGGTAGCACAGCCAGCCACTCGACCTCTCCGGCTCCGTTCTCCATCTCCCCTCCGGCGGCCGCGCCACTCTTCAGACCCTACATCGGCGTCGAGGTGTGCCGCCGGTACTGGGACAGGCACTCCGCTGTCGTGGTCAGATACCCACCTCTCCAATGGGTGGCATCTGAGCCCGGATCGTGTGCCCATTCCCCCCGTGCCGGCGACAGGCCGCGCCCGCTTATAGGAGATCGCCCGTCGCCCACCAGGATCCCGCGCGAGCTCCTCGGCGACTGCAGGTACGCCGTGGACTTGCCACTGTCGGACACCTGGTTTCAGGATGAGCACGACATGCGCCGCGCCACCTTTTTGCCATTCGTGGGAGCCCGCCCTGCGTTTCCCACACAGTCGCGATGCGCCTCATGCGTGCGCGCCAAGCCCGCCAAGCGTGTGCGGCCGCACGCGAATCCGTGGCCTGACGCCGACACTGTCTCCCTCCCCATCGCCTCCACCACCGCAACCTCCCGCCATGACGGCCAAGGAGGAGGAATGGCTCCTGCAGACCGTCATGGAGGACTCCGAGAGGGAGTACAGGTGCCAGCAGGAGGAGGAGTGGCAGGGCCTGCAGTTCAAGCTTGAGCTCTCGACCTCCGGGGACGTCTGCGTCCCGGAACTGGACGTCAAGCAGGAGGTCAAGGCGGAGCCCGCAGAGGAGCGTGCATTGCCGTCGTGGTCATCACCCCCAGCGCCAACGCCCCAGCCTCCTCCGCCGCCTGCATAGTACGCCCCTGACCCAATCTGGGGGCCACCGCCGCACCTCTGGACGCCCCCACCCTACATTGACCTCACGAGCGACTACGAGGACGGTGGCGCGTGAAGACGGCGGCTACGACGGCATCAGCAACGACGGCAAGGTCTTATACGGCGCGTGGGGCGGCCGCTTATCTTTTTTTTTTGTTTGATGTTAATTAAACTAAGTGTTGTGGTTGGTCCGTGAGGACGGCGGATTTTTAAATATGTTTTTTTAGTTTTTTAGCTATGTTAAAATGCCTTATTTTGCTTTTGCGTGTGTTTTTTTCCCACCGCGGACAAGTTATGGTTGGGGCCACGCGTTGGGCGCCTCGATGCCAGTCCGACCCGACACGGACATCCGTCTCCCCATTCTCACCCCAAAGAGACGAAATCCAGACATCCGGATAGGGTCTAGCGTTGGAGTTTGGCCTTACCATGCTGGTAGCACGTCAACCGCCAATACCAATACCTCCACACACACAAATTTAACCGGGGTGAATCACATAAACCCATACAGTGAATCACATAAAAACTGACGTTAGTTCTAGCGTTGCTAATGGAAAACAAAACCCAGAAAAACAAGGAAGGAACTGACCACCGCTCTATACCATTACATCACTAAGACCAACCCAGCTCTACGCCACAGCTCTACATATTACTCGGGGAAAAGGTAGACTACTAGACCACCACATGTAGGCTTTGTTCTTTCATGTATCCGTTCCATGGTATCGCAATGTAAAAACTCTATCTAGAAACTACTACCACGCAACTATTCTCTCGCTCACAACAAAGATACACACATGCAGAACGTACAACAAATTCTCAAACACTTGATAAAAACAAACCAGGAAAGGCCAAGAAGTTGAGGTAGAGCAAGAAAAGGCACACATGACTTCAGGATGTTTATTACGGTACAACACTCAAACAAAATATACGTGCACATGGGTCCGTCGCATCCCAACTAGGGTAATAATATACATCACACTCAGTACACGCGATGCAAGGAGGAAACTTCACATTTCACTAGTTCATCAGTTGGACCTCCATTTTAAACCACTTGATAGTCGATTTCACCTCACCTTGCCAAGACTACTGAGCAATCAGTCATAGCATGCAGAGCTCATGCATCATTAGCGTAGACACGGGTCCACTCTTTGGCTGCACAATATGAAACCGGCACTGCTTGAGAAAAATCTGCTATATTTTGCAGCTAGAAATGCGACAAGATCATCACCTGTTTCCACAGCTTCTGTTTCGTTGGCCTTCCAGTGCTTTGCCACATTGTCAGCAAGCGGATCGTCAGGATTTGGAGCGCTGAGGAGTGCTTGAATGCTGAAAATAAACATCAAGTGGAAAGGAATGAGATGTTCAGCTAAGATTGATTTGTTCTGCTCAACTCGTTTGAACTTTATGCTTATGTTTCAGCAAATATTTCCAAGTAAATACCAGCAGTGGTAAGGTACTGAAGGACCCACATCACATACTCCTATGCATATTCTAGTTACAGCAACACATATCAGTTCTGCCACCAGTTTACTGGTGGTTGTGGTGGCAGTGCCAGCAGCTCCATCGTACTGTACATTTAGTGTCATCAACTATCGAAATCTTTCATTTCTTCTAGGGTCTCCGCATAATGACTGTATACATCCCATATGATATGCCTGGCTTTTTAGTGTGAAGCATTTGCAAAGTGCTACAAAAGCTATTTAATGTAGAATTAATGTCCCATTTCTAATATCCATTTCACAAAACTATTTCAGGAAACCTAAAAATGCTATTTAGTCCAGTGGAGCTGATAAATGGTTTCTATAGAAGTACCGACTTCTTTATGAACAAAACACACCAAATGCGGAGTACAACAGAATGTCATCACATATATCAACAAAAATACTACTGAAGCACGAACATTCACCTCAAAAGAACTGTTCGGATCTGAAGGGCAGGACTCCACTTGTCCTTTAAGATATCAAGGCATATCCTCCCAAGCTGTATATAATGTACGTATTAAGAAAAATAGTATAATTTATTAACGTATATAAGGGGTCAGAATATAACAAACTTACCTTGTCAATGTTTGGATGGTAAATTTTTGTGAGAAAGCGAACCTGTTTACAGTGATCAAATCAAAACTTCAGTCACAAAAAATGTATAAATTCATGTAGACCTTAAATCAATGTAACCACTCAATCTGAAGTCTTAACAAAATAACAAGACAAATCTAAGTCCTCTCAACACTAAATATGATGATGAATACATCTTCCTCAAACTCATCAAGATCCTTAGAAGAATCATATGATGATATCGAACATTTATTCATATGATTCCAACATTTATTTGTTAAGCTGCGATAGAATCTTAGCTACACATATGGGCTCCATATGAATTGGGTGCACATAAGAACTTAGTCTACATGAAGCTTGGAAAAAACATCAACAAAATTACAAACCGACAAAGTCGTAGCACTGAGATACTTGAAATAAAGCAACAATGAAACACCTTTGGCGGAGCCATTGGATATTCTTCAGGTAAAAACAACTCAAGTTTGAATACTCCTCCTGACAAGTAATCAAACTAACAGTTAACAAGACAGCATACTGCAGAAATAGCCAACATTAAAGATGAGTTAATCGTAATAACTTAGGAGCTAGGAATGCATTAGTGGAGGTAAAGAGGATGCAGTAATCATCACATGACAAAAAATGAACCACATCAGAAGTTTGTGTTGAGAATTGAAGTACTACTAAAATAACAGGGAGCATCCAGGACATTCAAGCATTTCCACATATGGGGAAAAACAGTGACTTAATTGCAAGCCTATTTAGGAGTCAGGAGTTGGAAAGCTATACATCTCAGGAAGATGATGTTGTCTATGTGATACCAACAGAAAATATAAACCTCTTCATTTTCCAGATACTTATATTTCAGGAAATAAATGATGCGTCCATGAATTTTGCAGAAACAAGAGCGTTCAATAACTTACACAAAAAAAAATGCTGCTTGCATTGCACCGAAATTCCTTTGAATTGTGCTAAACCATGTGTGCACGCACAGCAAGGTTATACTATATATATGTTATTTCTCTTAGTTGTGGCACACGACAAATATGGCTGCTTTGTTTCTTAATTATGGCATCACTTTGCTCTAAAATATTTAATGCTCGAATTATCCTTGATCATGTCCAACAGCTACAAATCACTATAAGAATCCACATACCGCGATAAATTTTCTTAGTACAGTTGATTGGGTCCTAAAGTTGATCTACCATTTCAACAGCCAATTAGAGCATTGCATTGCTAACTCTGCAGTTAATGCCAAAGGCAACTAAAGTACAGAACAGAGGAACAGAAGGAAAAAAACTTAACACCTTCATATGGCGACTGAGTTGGGCCAAGGATCATGACATTGAAGTAGCGCATGTTCTCCTCTGATGGTGAAGCACTGATCCCAGGAGCTGCAAGAACATAACAAGGGCAGTGCCCGGGATCCTCAACAGACCATCCAACGATTGTTTTTACAAATTTAAGGAACAGCTAAAGTAGGGACCGACTCTTCACAGTTAGAGAAATAACTGAAGCTCTAGTATTAACTAGCCAAAACAAACAAACAAGAGATTAGAGGATCTATTGAAGCTAACTGGAGATGCAAAAATAGGCAAAAACAAACTCCTAAAATAGCATCAACTCCTGCGTAGAGGCATCTCAGATCTCACCTGGTTCGCTGAGCAGCCGCTGCGTCTCCTGCAGGAAGCAACACCCACCGAAAATCACCAAAATTGCATGGAAAGGAGCGGGAAAACTGGGGAAGATGGAACGACAGCGCACGGAAGGGTTAGTTACCTTGATGATGCGGCGGGGGAGGTTGCTGTTGGCCATGGAGAAGATGGGTTGGGCTAGGGCTAGGGTTTCGTGCTCTTGGGATCGATCGCGGCGGAGGGGAGGGGACGGGAGGAGAGGAAGGACCAAAGGAGGCGGCGTCAGCGAACAATGATCCTTCGGGGTATGCAGTTTAGTCCCTGTTGTTTGGGGTTTTTATGAGGCTAGTGCGGAGAGATAGGATTTAGACTGTTTTTCATTTGCTACCTTTTTTTAACTGATTTGCTACCTAAATTGCTTCTTTTTGGGGTAATTTCCGATCTATTCATTCTCAATCATGACAGTAAATCGAACACAAGAAATAACAAAAGTTACATACAGATCCCTAGACCACCTAGCGACAACTATAAGCACTGAAACGACCCGAAGGCGCGCCATCAGCATCGCCCCTCCCTCTCTAGAGCCGCGCAAAACTTGTTGAAGTGAACAATCGGGGAATCATCGTGCTAGGACCCTATAGGACCAGCGCACCAGAAAAGTAACCACCGCCAATAAAAAGAAGCGTAGATCAGAAGGTTCCAATCTGAAGACACACAAACGTAAACGGACAAAGACTTGATCCACGTGGATCCACCGTAGACAAACACCGATCGAATCTTACGAGATCTGCCAAAGACAAACTTCCACACGCCTTCTGATGATGCTAGAGGCACCGCCAGGATGGGGACGAGGTGAGGAGAGCCTTATTCCATCTTCAGGGAGCCGCCACCGTCTTGTCTTCCTAAGGACACAAACCCTAAAAAAAATTGAAACATCTAACAACGAAGCCCTCCCGCCAGCAAAGGCCGGGATCCTCCGCGTCCACGTGGCCCTAAGGCCACAGCGCTGACGGGAGCCAGGAAACACTGGCCGCCTTCGCTTGGGAGAAGAGGCGAAGGCCGTGTTTAACTTCACAAACTCCCTGTGTCCAATTTGCTACCTAAATTGATAAGGCTAATGTTTTCACAAACTATTTTTAGCGATGTTAAAACTTGACATTTGCAACCAACACTCAAACCAACAAGACCGGTAGAAAAAGGTGATGAAATATAGTATATCTTCTCACGTGGATATCCAGCAAAGTGATTCATCCGAAATATAGACTATCTTCAAGACGCAACTTTGACTCTAGTTCTTGATATGAATACAAATTGATGATTTTCAAAATTATGAATATTTCTCATGGAAAATTGATAATATTATTTTAATTAACAAGCCTTACTAATCTTTCATACACTAATACTAAATGACTAAATTAAGCCTTTTTGCATGGATACTAAGTTAAGAGTTTGACTACACTTCTTTTACTATGTTGTTTATTTAGAGTTGATGTAGCAATTTTATGAAATTTTGTTTGATGTTATGCCAAATATAAGTACAATCGAAATTGAATTTGAAGATAACTTGCTTCTCCATATATGAAACGTGCTTTTGTACGGCTCAGTCAAAAAATCATGTAGAGCCAACTTGGGGCTAGTATTTTACTCCTCTTGCTTGGAGAGAAGTTCTTGATTGTTTTTCATTCATAAGATCAAAAGTAATCAATTCATACAGTTGAAGATAGTAATTAATATAAAATAAAAGTTACTATTTTCTCATGCTTCCGTACGGTGTGCTAGGTTAAGTTCATGTCTATTTTTGAAGTTGTTTTATGTGTATTCTGGTTCTTGTTTTGTGATACGTGCATCATTCATGCATCCATGCGTCGAACAAGGTAGTGCCTTCATATGTATGTTGGAGTCGATGCTGCGAAGCGGTTCGAGAAAGTGCAGCTGGTCGGCAAGGGAGAAACTGGCGTTCAGAACAAGAGTGCAAAACGTGGGTCATTTGGATACTATTGTGTAAAAGTTGCCGAATGGATCGTAACAATTATAGTTTGGGAGGTTAAGCGTGTTAAAATTGTTTGACCAAGACAATAGCTTAGATGGGGGGGTGCATTTTCCCCTTTCTCTTTTATTTAACTAATAATAAAAATAGACAAAATAAAACATTGCTAATCTTGTTCTACTAGATTTTTTTTGATAAAATTCCACGTTTTGGTATTCCAACGCTCAATGTGTTTTACCAACGTGTGGGCATATACCCCTAATAAAGTTAAAAAATACATGTGAATATTTGCTTAATAAACAATTTACCTATCTCTTTTTATTCTTCAGTGGAAGGATCTCAATTTCACTAACAAAACCGATGGTATTGAATAAAGCGACAACAAAAGCAAAACATATGATCTTAGCGGCGTGGCATAGGAATGCAACATCTAAATTAATCATCTTGCGCCTCAATCAAGTTCAAACAAGGAACGATATGGCAAAAACATTGCTAACCAATATCATGGTTATCTTCCTCAAGAGCGCTCTATCCAGTCTCCGTCTCCTTTTCCCTCTGCATTCCAGCTCATTCAAAAACCCAGTGTCAGATTAGAATTAGATGAGCCTTAGAAGACATAAATAGAAGGCACAAAAGTAAAACAATTTTTCAGAACATGGGGGCAACGGAGCACTTTATTTTGAACTGCTCCATAAAGATACTTAAAAGATTTGATTGTTTTTACATGAATACGCATGCATGTGGTCTAAGTACCTGTAAAATTTCGTTCAATAATACGTTACATTACGTGCTGCACAAAAAAGACAAAATTTCTGCCCCAAAACACCAAAAAACAAGCCCCTAGTTTTCACGTATTTTGTCTTTTTTGTATCTTTTACATGCAATCATGTATATTGCTGAAATTTTGGCCCGATATACTGCATTGCTATACGCTCATGCACACAAAAAATTGAACAAAACTGAACCGTAAAAATGTGAATTCTTTGAACTTCTTCTGAGCAGAGAAAAACGGGCAAGCAGGGAAATAACTGATTTAAGCTAGAAGGCACCGCAAGGAAAAAAAAACTGAGTGACATTCTAATATTCAGACACTGAAAAGAGTTAAATATATAAACGCCCAATCCAGTGCATTCTTAAATGTTCCAAAAACCAGTGCCCACTCAACACGACTGACGCAACCATCACGAGGTTCAGAACATCCAAACAAAATCAGTGTTGCTTACCACCACTGAACTCCAATCCTTTATTGAATTCAAAACACCTATCCAGCTTATTAACCTTGGCCCCAGTGTAAGCGAGGAGCCTAACTCTCATGGGTATTGATTTCTTGGTTCTCTGTATTTTCAATTATTTTAATAAAGAAAGAAATGTTAACTAATTAATTAGGTCATGTGGCTCAGTTCGTTAGAGTGTTGGTCTGATATACCAAAGGTCACGGGTTCAAGCCCCGTTGGGACCATTTAAAAAAATTGCGATTTCCCTCTTTTTCCGTGTTATATTATTTTTCTAGTAAATTGGCAAAAAAAATAACTTATTAGGTCTCTCAGGGACTGCCAGGAATTTTTAAAATTACTAGCAAAGAGGCCCGGACATTGTAACGGGAGAAAAAATATATTATAATCTCCAATGGCCATGATCACATTTTGCTGCATCACTGAGATACACTATCACTCTCAATTTCGTGAAATCATGACATTTTTTTAGACTCGTGAACATGTCTGAAATTATGAACATTTTTCAAATTTGTGAATACTTTTACAATTTTTTGAACATTTTCTCAAATTAAGAACATTTTTTTTCAATTCATGAACATTTTATGCAAACATTTTGAAAAATTGTGAACAGTTTTTTAACAATTTTCTGGAATCAGCGAACATTTCTAGAATAGACAAACATTGTTCTGGAAATTGCTGGAATAATTTTTTAAATCCATGAGCATTTTCTTGATTTAATGGACATTTTTTAAAATGCATGATCATTTTTTGAATGAATAAACTAGCAAAGGGGCCCGGGCATTGCAACGGAAGAAAAAATATATTATAATCTCCAATGGCTATGATCACATTTTGCTGCATCACCGAGATACACTACCACTCTCAATTTCGTGAAATCATGAACATTTTTTTAGACTCGTGAACATGTCTGAAATTATGAACATTTTTCAAATTTTTGAATACTTTTGCAAATTTTTGAACATTTTCTCAAATTAAGAACATTTTTTCAATTCATGAACATTTTATGCAAACATTTAAAAAAAATTGTGAACAGTTTTTTAAAAAAATTCTTGAATCAGCGAACATTTCTAGAATGGACAAACATTGTTTCGGAAATTGGTGAAACAATTTTTAAAATTCACGAGCATTTTCTTGATTTAACGGACATTTTTTAAAATGCATGATCATTTTTTGAATCAGTGAACATTTCATGAATGAATAAACTATTTTGTAAGTCATGAACAATTTTTGAATTTAGGATATTTTTCCATTGATAATCATTTTCTGAATTGGTGAAATTTGGTTCAATTTCATTAAAAAAATAATACATGAACTTTAAAAAAATGTAAATATTTTTTGATTTCCCAAACATTTGTTTTCAAAATTTTGAATTTTTTGAGTAAACAGACATTTTTGTATAAAATTGCAAACAGTTTTAAAATCCACAAAAATTTTCTGATTTATTTAACATTTTATTTCAAATCTATTTTAAAAAAAATCGGAATTTTTTTGAAGTCCCAAATTATTTAAAGTGGGAAAACGAAACGGAAAAGAAAAATAAAAAGAAAAAACGAAAATAAAAAAGGCCGCCCAGACATGGGCCGGTGGGCGCATTGCGTATTTCCCAGCTCGCGAGGTCCCTACTGCATGGGCCGGCCCAAGCAAGGATCCCCCCTTGTGAATTTTTTTTATCAATGTCTCAAAAAAATGTTTTTTATCACTTATAGATGACATTGGTGGATAATTCTTTGCAATTTTGGAGGCAATTTTCATGATGTACCACAAGAAGCAATAGCCTTTTATTATTATATATAGGTAAGCATAGGTGTATGCAATCACCATTACTCTTTTTTTTGTACTGTTGTACTAAGTAACCCCTAATGTTTTTTAGTAAACAGCAAAATTAAAATAACTTACTTCCTCCGATCCATCTTCCCCTAATAAAAAAGCAAATAGTATTTCTGGTCGTCCGTCCAAGAA